TAAAACAAGTTTATTCTTCCTCATACAACTTTGCAATACACAGAACTTCCACAGTCACTTTAACTTAAACACACGCTATAATACACAATGATTTACACACTTTACTTACGGCTTGACTCGATTATCCGTCTCTATCTCTGCCTGTCTGCAATTATCTATGCCGTCACTTCTTCTCTCCGCTTTATTTGCGAGGCTTATATATTAAAATAGAGGGCGCCTAGAAAACGCTCGGGCCTTCATGATCCTTATAGAATCTCATGACGTGTTACCAGAGTCACGTGACTTTCGCTGTCGTAACAGTATTATAAGCCTTCAGAGTTAACTCTGAGTCATCGGAAAATACGTAATTTACTATAATACAAAATTTTATCTTTAAAAAATGCACCCCTTTTAGATTGTTTTGCCGAATTCTAGTGCTCTTTAAGGATTTCTATAAAAAAATGTTTTTTGAGAGCTATAGTTAAAATTCAGCTGTTTGAAGATGGCCTTGTTAACCTGGACAGATTCGAGTTTAATGTTACACTTTTTTTCATAAAGATTTATTACAATACCTTTTACTGAAATATCTTGTTACCTAGTTAGCACTTTGCACTGATCAATAAATTTCAAGTGAATATTTTTATTTCAGAGATGTTGTAGAAAGAGGCCAGTAAACGACAGATCTTATAAGGGTGAAATGCAATATAAAGATATTCTCAAAAAGGGCGCTTTTTGCAGTAACTCCCCCTGGTAAATTACAAGTCTCTGGATTGTAACCAGTGAGAATTTTTAACCGTGAATCAATTACAAAAAAAAAAAAAAAAAAAAAAGAAAAAGAAAGAATATGTAGATCTGCTTTGCTAACACTGTTCGACATAAGTCTTTTTTTTCTGTCTCCGCGTTTTTAAGCAAAAAGAGTAAGTCAAATATTCAAAAAAATCGAATCAGACTTGCAATATTGTGATCAAGCAAGTAACAACGTATTTTATGGTTTTAGCAAAGCAAGAATGGTTTCATACGATTGAGTAACGTAGCAAAATAGACAAGGCATTCAAGAACTAATTTCTGTAGCTGAACCCTGAGAACAGCGAGTGAAACAGGGAGAAAGTTTCTAAACGAGGAGGACGTTGACTCGACTGACACGTTCACGGTACTGGTTGAAGCTATAATCAAATAACCTGTACAACAAGACAAATAACAAATACAAGAAAATTGCCTGTTTTGTAAGTCTTAACCTTTTCACATCAAATTCCTCTACAAATCTTGTCTCGTCTACCATAAATAGAGTAGATCATACTGTTACGTCTCCGTTTGTTAATTAACTTTCCGTAACTTCGTTCCGACGAAGCTTCAGCGACACAAGTTCTTTACTTAATAAAACTGGTTTATTCTTTCCGAATACAACTTTACCGATACACTCAACTTCAACAATCGCGCTAAACAAACGCTATAACAACGAACGTCAATAATACTCTGACCGCAGATCAATTACTCACTATCTACACACATTACATTACCGCGTCACGTTGTCCCCTCTTATATATACCCGCTTACCCTATATCTAGTAAGAACTAGAACATTCGCCAAAGTACAGGATAATTCTAGAAAGTAGAGAACGTGAGAATCACATTATCTCGATGACGCAACAATACATTGACAAGAAAAGAAAAAAAAAAAGAGGCAACTAAGAAGCGCTTTGTTTAGAGGATAATATTTACTGTCAGGAACGCCATTTCACTAAAGGCTTGAGGGATCGATGAAAGTGTCAATTCAATTGAGAGCCTTACGATATAGGGTAATTTGCATATGTGTTAATCCGGTATGACCTACAATGTCTCACAGAAGTTGCCATTTGGGGCCCTGTTTTCGAGCTTGAGGAGGCCGGTCACCCATGTTTTATAAAGTAAGGTAATTTTTCCTGGCAGCATGTTTAATTTAAATATACAAAAACATTGTTGATTGGATTACGAATTGTTCTTCAGTTGTGACGGAATCTTCGAGGAGTTACCGAAACAATAATAATACATCTACTTAATAATAAAATATTGTTTAGACGATTTCTTGCAATCCGTTACGTTAATAGTTTGGTTTTGAGTTTACTTACTGATTATATTATTTCAAAACAGGTACGGCCTTTCGATAACTGGTACCGTCATTCTCAAGCACACACCAATGATCGAAACGCCGTAATCGTTCCTGTTTTATAAATATTCTTTATTACTGTAAAAACTGTAACTTGTAATAAAATAATCGATTAATGTGTTTACAGATATTGTACTGGAACAAGGTAAACAATAAAGAAATTAATTATTAAATACACGTGTAGATTAATGGGTAAGCATGTATATACATACATAGAATACAGAATAATTGTAAAGTTATATATATAAAAATATTCTTAATAATAGATAAATGAAAAATAACTAGATTGATAGATAAAAATATACGTTTTTATTTCAGCGGAAGAATTTCTGTCTGGTTTATGGAAATATAGCAAATGAATTTTATCACATCGATTCTTTGAAGCGTCGAAAAATGTTTTTTCCAAAGATTGTTGAAACTTTGTACATTTTGATCCATCTGTAAACTGACAGACGACAAACTGTTGAACAAGACCTGCAAGGAAAATCAGAGTATTCTTTGTGCAAAGGATTATCATTCACGGTGTTACTTATGATACTTTAGTTTTTGATGTTATGTATTAAAAACAATCAAACACAGATTTTGATATCTCAAGTTATAGATATAACCAGTGGCTATACTGTAGAGTCTTCTTGTTGCAAAGTTCATTTTGATACAAGATTTAGGTGTAGATGCACGTACTCTTATTAATTTGTAAAATACGATGAATATCTTTCTCTTACGCTTAGTGTTAAGTAACAGAAATACAAATTTCATTACAAATAACTAATGGGTATAATACGAGTTTGCCACATTCTACGTTATATATATATATATGAAATGTATATATACATGAACTATACCTTCAATATACAATATTTAAAAAAAAAGGATCGTCTGACGGCCAACTTTAGTAAGCTGATAGTTGTACATCTCGAAATGCTCTTCTATTCGTACAAAGCCCTACATACGATTTTGCAGTTTGAGATAAATAAGCGAACACTATATATAAAAGTTGATACTACATAGCCTACAAACAGGCTAAAATTGACGATTTTTGCATATCATGATGGATCTTAACATTTTCTAATCAAGAATAACATTTATGGGTACCAATCTCTCGCAAGAGTAACTTCACATTTTAGTTTTTCATTACGATCTATATACTTGTAAAGGAGAAAACCCTGCAATGCAAAATTAGCAATCTTGGAAGACATGTTGATAAGAAAATAACATTAAGGTACTACAATTTCCATTTTAATCAGATTCTAGACTTGATAGTATTCAAATGATACAGAAGATAACTTTTTGAAACTCTCAAGTTATTGAAACTTTTCATGTGAAAAGTTCGCCTTACTATGCTTGTTGGCTGAGACTTTCAAGTTTAAAAATTGTTCATATGTTTATTACTGCCTTTCTTCAAGTACTCAACAACAAAGTCAACGAAGACAATTTTAAGTACTACATAGAATCATAGACGTCAAATGGAAAACAAATATGTGAAGCTACTTTTTATCTAAATAAGCAAAGTTTTGAGTAATATGATGAGATGAAACATAAAATAGTTTTTTATGTAATCCTGTAAGATTGAAGTGGAATATTTAATGTTTCGTTTTTTGTAAGTATCCGTATATATTTAAAGAAATATACCAGATGGTGTGTAGTGATTCTTACACTTTTTTGTGTCCCACCTTATACTTATCAATACAATAAATAAATTTACACACTTTTAGAATAAGTATCAATTACAAAGTTTTAAAATTTTACACAATTTAACATAACAATAATTCACTTGGATGTAGTTTTATGAATACAAAAATGTATCAGACTCACAACATAACTATACTAGTGTCTTATGAAGTTATAATTGAAAATCAATGGAAAAAAAATTGATTGGAACCTGCAATACTAGTTTTGTATAATTAAGTTTACCAGCTAAAAGCTTATTGTAGGAAGCTGATTAATGGGTATTTCTACTTTCTGTAACTCTAGAGCTCCTTTGGTTTTGCTTGTATTTTATCTGAGAATTATTTAGTTTAAAAGTCTTTTTCACTGGATTAAACTGAACTTCATGAACATATATTGTAGTTATTAATTCACAATAAGCAACATTTTGGGTAACATGTCAAATGAGTAAGTAGTTTATGTAATCCTGCAAGATTAAAGTATAATGTTTTATTTTTGTACATATTCTTATGTACTAAAGTGTAAACTATCATATGTGAATGAATGGTCAATAAAAATGTCTGAATTACAATCATATATTGTTAGTTAATAACTGGTGCATGTCTTTGCACATATCTAGAATTTATGGAAAAAAAAAGAATATAAAATAATGAACAATCGTTCATGTATTACCTGGATGTCTTTTCTAATCATAATTCCTAAATTACAAAATGAATCACATACATCTTTAGCAGAAAAACATCTATTTTTTGAATGTGATAATTTTTTTTGGTCTTTGATTTTAGTAGTCTTATTTTGTGAAAAATGGATTTATTATAATTATTATTTGTCTACATCTTACCCAGTATACGTTTAGAAATATATTTGATAATTTATTACACTGTATTTCAATTGCCATTTCATGAACAGACTGAATTTTTTGATAAAGACTTGGAACATACCTTTAACTACACATTAGTAGTATTTTCTGTCATATACGTACAACTCATTTACTTCATTGAATCTTTTTTAAATTTAAATTTTTAAGATCTTACATATATTAAGATTTGAATGGTTTATGAACATATATATATATATATATATATATATATAT